CCCGCGCGCGAGGCCCGGCCTGGAGGGAGGCCGCGCGCCCCGGGGTGGCTGGGCCAGTGCCCTCTGCTCGCCAACTTCGGTCAAGCGGAGGCCAACTTTCCTCGGCACGCTGTACTTCTCGCTCCGTCCCGGGTCTTTTTCTTTGAATGGTTCAGTGAGAGTCGGGCGTGATAGCTTAAGCCTGTAATCTCAACACCCAGGAGGCTGAGGCAGGAGGATAGCCGTGATGTTGAGGCTGGCCTGGATTAGAGTGAAACTCCGCCTCCAAAAATAAAAGAAAAAAAAATAATTCACTTGAAATTTTTAAAGAGCCACAGGACATGCAGCCTCTGTTAATGCAGTGCCCGCCGGATCTTAGCTCGGATGCACTGATTGTGTTTTTCTCTAGGAAACTTTAAATACTGGGATGTTAAGATTCCAAAGGTTTGCATAGCCTTTAAAACCGTCTGGTGTACCACGCGTGGGAAGCGGCACAGCAGCGTTACATAAACCGTCGGGATCTGCTAACTCCATTATGCCTTCTTCCTTTGGCAGTTCAGTTCAACCGTGTTTTCTGAGCACCAGCCGTGTGCCGGCATCGTGCTAGGCAGTCTCTGGGGTAGAGACCGGGCTTAGTGGCCCTCAAAAAGGTAGTGGTATAGATAGCTGCCAATCCAGAGACTGTCACGGTGCAGGTGGCAGTAGAAGACAACGGCTCCAGCACCGGGAGGTGGAAGCGGGAGGGTTAAGAGTTCAAGTCCAGCCTGTCCTGCATGGTTCCCTATCTCAGAAAGAAAAAAGAAACTGTGAGGGGGTTTTGTTTGTTTTGTTTCTTGTTAAGAGACAACAGGGTCTCTCTGTGTAGCCCTGGCTGTCCTGGAACTCTTTCTGTAGACCAGGCTGGTCTTGAACTCAGAGATCTACCTGCCTCTGCCTCCCAAGTGCTGAGATTAAAGGCGTGAGCCACCAGGCCTGGCTCAAAACATTCTTTTTGAATTTTAAAAATAAAAAGGCCTGAGTGCTGAAATCCCTTTGAATGGCTTTCTAGTCAATGGCAAGCTAGTGCCCATGCTGTGCCTTTAAAGATTTACAGTCAGTTTGATTTAGAGAGCTGTTTGAGACTACTAAGTTTCAAATATATAATAAAAGCTAAATATTTTCAAATAAAAATACATGTAATAAGGAAATGCAACTTATGCAAAATTCCATTAGTGATAGTAGATGTTGATACAGGGATCCCAGGGAATGGAGTCCTCTGAATCCTAACATTTTGTTAGAGAATGCAGTGAGGAGTCAATACGTAAGGTTCAGTGTTTTTGTTTTGGTTTGGTTTGGTTTGGTTTTGGTTTTTCGAGACAGGGTTTCTCTGTGTAGTTTTGGTGCCTGTCCTGTATCTCACTGGACCAGGCTGGCCTCGAACTCACAGAGATCCACCTGGCTCTGCCTCCCGAGTGCTGAGAGTAAAGGCGTGCGCCGCCGCCACCACCACCCGACAGGTTCAGTGCTTTTTAAGAACTCACTTAAGAGCAGCGTGTCTATTAAGCATAAGCTTGGTGAGCTGGGAAGATGGCTCAGTTGGTTAAGTGTTTGCTGTACAGCACAAGGACCTGAGTTGGAAACCCCAGGATCCATGTAACAGGTGGGAATGGTGTCATGTGGTGTTGATAACCCCAGTGTTGGGGTGGCAGGAACAGGAGGATCCCAGAGCTTGCTGAGCTGCTAGTCTAGACAACTCAATAGTTCCAGCTCCCAGTTCAATAAGAGATCTTGTCTCAAAATATATAAGAACAATAGAGAAAGATGCCTGATGTGAACCTCTGGGTTGTGTATACGTAAGCACATGCACCTTCACACACAGGAAATAATCCTAGTGTGCTTTGCTTAAATTGATAACATTGAGTTTGGAGTATAGACGGAGTCCTGGTAAACAGTCCTTATGCTCTTTAATTTCCCCAAGGACTGTATGCTTAAGAATGAGGAAAGATGGGAAAGCATGTTCCCACCCATGGGTTAGTAAGGGCAGTAGTTTGTCAGAACCCTTCCATGGATTTTTATATTTTAACTTTACCCATATTTGGGAAGAATTTCACTTCGGTATAAAAATACTGTTCCAAAACATGTTTTTACTCTAAACTCAAGTTGGAAGGAGACACACTTTTTCTTACATTCCAATATGTTTGTCATATTTAACTGTTATGTTTGCTATAGGTTTTATTTGTCTGTTGAGTTTTTGGTGCTAGAAATCTGAATACTAATTTGTTAGTGGATTAACTTCTCAGTTTTTTTGTAGATGAACTTTTTGGGGCATATATGGTGTCTTGGGAACCTAACTGGTATTTTCTTGTTGAGTATTTAGAATGCCATCCATGGTTGTTTAGATGAGACCATTGAGATGTTGGTGCTGATAGTTGACTATGGGCACTTTCCCCTTCATCCTTATGTACACTTTTGTCTCTGGGAGGGGGTCAGATCCCCTGGAACTGGAGATACAAGCAGTTGTGAGCTGCCATGTGGGTGCTGGGAATTGAACCCGGGTTCTCTGGAAGAGCAGCCAGTGCTCTTAACTGCTGAGCCAGCTCTCTAGCCTGAGTTTTGTATACCCCCCCCCCCCTTGAGACAGAGTTTCTCTGTGTAGCCCTGGCCATTCTGGAACTTGCTCTATAGACCAGACTGGCCTTGAGCTCAGATATCCACCCGCCTCTGCCTCCCCAGTGCTAGGATTAAAGGTGTGTGCCATTACCGACTGACCATCCTTCACAGATTTAGAAGTAAATTTAAATATGACATGACATCTCACTGGGAGAAAATAGTTTGGATTTTGTATACTATAGCTAAACAAAAAGTGGTACCTCAAGGAGTGTCTTTATTTTTTCCAGGTACTCCATGTTTCCCTATCCTCTGAAGAGTTTGGGTCGAGACTGGACCTCACCGTGGGAGGATCTGCAGAGGTATTGCTGGAACAGACACATTTCCAGTTGTCTGAGGTGGCCTGGACATTACTCACGTTCGCCATACCCATACTTCAGTAGCAGGCATTTCTCACTGAACTGTAGACCACCTCTGCTGTTTGAATCTGGAACTCAGTTTCAGTACTGTAATTGGAGACCTGACCATCTAAGCAACACATCCTTGATCCGGCTCTCCAGTTACATCATGAACTCTGACAGAGATGAACCCTCATCCAAACGAAGAAAACACCATGGTAAAGGAAGTGTTTATCTTGGTAAAGAGACAGATGTAATGATAGACTCAGTTGAAACAATCGTATCTAACCTTGAAGCTGTCCTCCATATTCTAGAGATGTTAGTGTTTATTTTTAGCCAGTAGTTATTCTGGGTTAGGAATGGTGTCTTTATTTTCAACTATGTCTCTCTCTATAATTGTAGAAAAGGACTATAAGACTATATAAGGAGACTATATCAGTAGGTTTACATAGTTTATATAAGTACTTAAGTAGACCATATAAGAATATAAAATAGATAATTACTCTACTGATTGAATGACAATAGAAAACAGAAGGAGTTAAAAACACAACCTTTAACAACCGCTTTCATGTCCAGCAGTTTTTGAAAAGAGCCTTTGGTGACTTGGAGATGAGATTGGCAGTAGAAATCACTGGTCTAAAAAAATTTAATTTTGTGTTTTTATTTTAATAGTAACTTTAAATATATAATGTAAAAGAATTATTTTATTAGAAATAATCATATATAAAATGTTACAGGGTAAGATTTAAGCTTGGTAAATCTGTATTTCCCAAATTAGAGTCTATAAATAGCTTACAAATATGTTTTTCTTCTTTTTTTCAATGCTAGGGATTGAACCCAGCATCTTATACTTGTTCTGCACTGAGCCATGTGCCCAGTCCTAGAGAGACTCGAGAGAGAGTCAGAATTGCTACCTTTTAGAATGGGAGCCATAGCTTAGTCAACTTGTGGAACTCTTAAAAAGGTGTATTGACTCGGTCTGCTTTTCTCGTGCTGTTTTTACTTCTAGACAACTCATGTACTCCCACCCCACTGTAATCCCAGTGCATACTGAGGTATGTAAGCTCAGGATTGCCTTTCTTACTGACCTTTAGGAGGCTGCGTGGGAGCTGGGATGTAGGGAGCTGACAGAGGTGGGAGAACCGACAGTGAGCTCCTGAGCTTTTAGGGTTCAGGCTCCGTGTTCTTTGTTACCAGAAAGTTCTCTGGAGGATTCACTGGGGTCCCAAGACAGAACTGATTAGTTGCTACAGTTATAAAGAGCTAGTTCAAATAAACAAACACATGTAAGTAGACACTAAGTCCTTGGCAGTGGAAATCTGTGTAATATGTAATTATAGCATATGGAGGTAAGTAGTCCTATGAGACACTGAAACCAGGGTGCTCGGAAGGACCCAGTTATTTTTTATGTATATGTTGCTGTTCATTGGGCCAACTCACACTCCTTTCTTGCAACCTTTTGGTAATTCTGTGCACTCTCAGTTGAATTTTGACATGCACCATAAGCATGATAAAGTTTAAGAAGCATTCTGTACCCTCATGTATGCTCTGCCACTGTGGCATAAGCTTGGAAAGGTCACCTACCTCTGCTCCTTGGTTTTCCAGTGTAATAAATAACATCTATTTTGAATGTCTGTTAAAGACAAAATGAGGTATGTCTACATGACTAACGTACTATGAGTTTCATAGAGACTACTCAGAAAATTGGATGGGGAATTACATTTATATACTGATAATCTCTGATTGCTACCTGACTTTTTATCTGTCCATTCTTCCTAGGTGTTGAGAATAAGGAAAAGGCTCTTCGTTAAGCCATATATGTGACTTCCGATATTTCACTAATACATTTCAATCAAGAGAACAGCTTTACTAATTTGCCTATCACTTTAAAGTATTTGAAGGATTTGTGTGACACAATTATGACTTTTTAATTAGGCACCCCAATACCTGCTCATGCCTATTGCTTCCTTTCTTTGACACATCTCTCTTCTCTGCTGTGATCACCTTGTTCCTCCTGACATGGAAGGTATATAAGCTTTTGCAGTGTGAATTTGTTATAAAGTATGTGACAGCCAGCGACTATTCCTTGTGTCAGTGGTTTGAGTCAGTCCTCCATGGCACCTAGCATTTGCTCACACTTGTGCCTTTTTAGTAAAAACAAATGTGGTTAGCATGGACTGTTTCCCTCAGCAGAGATTTGGTGTTCTTGGGACAGGAAGAGCAATGCCAGAATGCCACAAGCTGTAGGAGTTCGGAACCACCATATTAATCAGGTACCCACTGGTCCTGGTTATTAAGAAGTACCCTTACAAAGTCATTACCAGGACCATAATAATCTCGATGTGTTTTCATGTACACTCTATGTACATATTTTATAAGGAACAGCGATTGAGTGTTCTAGACTTTCATTTTTTCTATTTCATCATGATAGTGACAGAGGATCGTGCTGTAGTGGGAGTGAAAGCTTGCATGTCGCATGATGGAGCCTTCCATCTTATGAAGACTTCAGTCTGTGCTAAACCATCATAGGACACCCCCAGTTTGTGGGGCCCTGTAACTGTCGGTGTGTCTCTGTGGAGCTAGTACCATTAGTCTCAATTTTAAGCCTTTGGGGTGGGATTCTCCATGTTCGGTGCAGGATAGGGAAGGGCCAACTTTTTTCCCTTACATGGGCCTGAGGCTGCTTTGGGCAGAATTCTGTATTGTTGAAAAGATTTCTCTCTCTTTTGATTTTGTTTCTTTCACCTTTTTCTGGAGCCCTTCCCTTAGCATCTTCATACCATCAGCTCCCTCACCCCATCCAGCCCTCACTAATCACACGCTTATCCTCTGTCTGTCAAATGTCTGCTCCTCCATGCAGCAGGCAGAAACTTAGATACTGAGGAGAGCACCCTGCTCTAATGAGCTTCCCATAATGGACTTTATTGGCAGCTGATGTAGCATATGGATATTCTGATTTGAAAACCTTGTCATTGTAGAAGACTTTTAAAACAGTATTTCCTTTTCACTCTGCATGTAAGTTTATTGTTTCAATCTATTTCCTTTTTAGTTTGTTTTAGTTTGGTTTTGGAGACCGGGACTCACACTGTAGCTCAGGCTGGCCTCAAATTCTTGGTAATTCTCCTGCCTTATCCTCCTGAGTGTTGGGATTACAGGTGTAAGCCTCATGCTCAGATAACTTCTTAGAATCTTAGGCATTGTAATCTAGTGAAATGAAAACCTGTATGCAGGATAGAGGAAGACAGTCTGTGGCTGAAAGCTGTCATTTACTCTCCGCATGCTTGGCCAGCCATCTCCAAATCGATTCTCTTCTGGTTAAGTTTTCTCCTCATTGTTGAGTTTGTAGGTTAACTAAATGTTCTATCTTTTTTTTTATGGCTTCCATGACATTAAGCATGTGGCATAATGAGACAAGAAATCAAAGGTGAATTATTCACTTGCTATTTTTTGGCACTAGGCATTGAACCTACTTGTCAGATAAGTGCTCAACCACTGAGTAATTATCAGCCCTTGGATTTTTGGTTTGTTTTGTTTGTTTTAATCTCACTACATGTAGCTCAAGCTGTCCTTGAACATACCATGTTGGCCAGGCTAACCCTGAACTTTCGATCTTCCTATTTCAGCCTCCTGAGTGCTGGAACAATAGGTGTGTGCCACCACACCTGGATATGAGTATATGTGTGTATATATACACATATGCATCCTCAGAAAATAATTTCTCAGTTGAGGAGTACCTGTAATTACAGAATCTCATTTTTTTCTATCCACTTTTTGTTGCTTTTTCAGAGAATGCTATGTCTTTGCAGAGTGTGATCTATGGTGCATTTTTTGTGATCCTGGTGGTTTTTGCGAGGCTCATTAACCAGCCTCTGCTGTTTGTCTAGAGCATTCTGTAACATCATGCTAACTTTTGTCTTGGTGTCCCTGTATTACAGGGCTCATTTTGTCATCTATAATTTGTAACAATTCATTATATTCATTCTGTCTGTACTTCCCCACTTCAACATTTTAGACGCTAAACCCGGTCCCACAGATTGTCATTCTATACAACCCTACATTCATGCATAAACCAGAATTCTGAACTAAGGTAACTGATGATCTTGATAGGGAATAAAATGTTCTGGGAAATCATCTCTGGAAAGCTGGCTTTGGTGAGTCTCTTTGCATTAAAGAATGCTAAGCCTGACTGATGGAAGTCTTAACCAGAGTCAAATGGGAAAATGCAGCCTCCAGAAAGGTGTGCTAGGATTTCCTGCCTAGGCAGCCCACCTGATGACAGCTTGTCACTAGTCACTGTTAGATTGCGATTTCCAAGGGAAAACATTTTACTCATTAGCTGTGGGAATTTTCGTTAAGTAAAGTATTTGTGTACAGGAAACTATCTGGTCTCCTTTTGATTGATTCTTTTCTATTTTGTCCAATATATTTTAACAGGAACAATAAAAAGGAATTGGGAGTATTTATGTAGCCATAATAAAGAAAAGATGAAGGATCTAGACGGCAGAGATGTTGACTCCACGTGTGAGGACAATGAAGAAAAGTTTGACTTTTCAGTGATGTCTTACAATATACTCTCACAAGATTTACTGGAGGATAACTCGCACCTCTACAGACATTGCCGACGTCCAGTGTTACACTGGAGTTTTCGGTTTCCCAATATTCTGAAGGAAATCAAACATTTTGACGCAGATGTAAGTGTGCAAAGCAGTATCTCAGCTTTTCTTGTAAGGAGAGTGTGGTTGATTGTACATTCCTGGGCTGTGTTTTATTGCATGTTGTTCTCGAGGTGTGGCTTCTTTGTTATTAATTGCTGATCAAAATAATCACCTAGCTTTTCAAAAGAGCTGAAAGTTTTAAGTATTTAAGTATTGGTCAACTTTGAGAATCAGACTGGAAGCATTTTAAGTAAAATTAATGGACTTAAAATTTCAATAATTTGTGCAAAAATTCATCTACATGGTAAAATGATAGCATTTAAAGAATGCAAATTGCTTTTTTTGTTTAAGACAGAACCTCTGATAGCTTACACTGGCCTCAAATTTCCTTTGTAGCATAAGATGACCTTGAACTCCTGATTTTCCTGTCTTTCCCGATCAAGTGCCAAGTGCAGACATGTGTCACCATGCTCAGCTAAAGAGACAGGGTTTTTTGTTTTGTTTTGTTTTTGGCAGGAGGGATGCTGGAATGAAACCAGCCTCTTATGAAAGGACACACAGAGCTGGAGAGATGGCTTAGTGGTTAAGAACACTGGCTGTTTGTTCTTCTAGAGGACCTGGGTTCAATTCCCAGCACCCACATGGCAACTTACAACCATCTGTATCTCCAGTTCTAGGGGATCTGACATCTTCTTCTGGCCTCTGTGAGCACTACATGAACATCGTGCACAGAAATTCAGGCAAAGCATTCATAGCTAAAATAAAAATAAAATCTCCAAAAAATTGTTTTTTAAAGAAAGGACCTGAGCCAGGTATGATGACATATGTCTATAACCTAGCACATAACTGAGGCAGAAGGACCACTCTGAGTTCAAGGTTCCTCTGGGTTATATAGTGACACCAAAAGCCTAGACACGTTGAACATGGAAATTCAGGAAAAATAGCCTCACATAGGAGAAATACAAAAAAGTTCTTTTAGGAAATAGACCATTTTGAATGATGAAAGTACTATTCCATATGAGTATGGGCTATGGTTTTGAGATATAAGATGTTTAGAAACGTATTTTTTTGTGATATAGAATATTTGAGAGCAATAATTTTTTTTTTCAAAAAGTAAAAAAAAAAAAAGGCTGGGCATTGTTGGTGTACACCTTTTATCCAAAGCACTTGGGAGACAGAGGCAGGCAGATCTGAGTTCAATACTAGCCAAGTCTACAAAGTGAGTTCCAGGACAGCCAGGGATACACAAAGAAACCATGTCTTGGAAAAAAAAAACAAAGAATAAATAAATAAAAGCATTAATTTATTCTAAAATTAAGAAAAGGTATATATGCCACTTTGATTTCCACACTGTCAGAGTTCAATAAAATTCATACTTGCATCTGTGTGTTTTCATGCAAATCACTGTTTTCTTCCAGGTGCTCTGTCTGCAGGAAGTCCAAGAAGATCACTATGGAGCAGAAATCAGGCCGAGTCTAGAGTCACTGGGTACAATGTAACCTTTATTTGCTTTGCCAGATTTATTCTTGCAGAGTTTTACATTATTAAAACATAATTTTTTTAAACAAAAATGCATGACATATTTGGGTATAACTTTTATTCATTTTTTTTTTGTTTGTTTGTTTTTCAAGACAGGGTTTCTCTTTGTAACAGCCCTGGCTGTCCTGGAACTAGCTCTGTAGACCAGGCTGGCCTTGAACTCACAGAGTTCAGCCTGGCTCTGCCTCCCAAGGGCTAGGAT